GACAAAAAGGGAATGAATCAAAATCAAAAAAGAAATTATTTTATATTTTAAACCAGACATAAAATAAACATCATACAACATTTGTACATCATAGCAATTGTATATAGCTTTCAGTTGATTTTCAATTAACTTTTAATCAAACTAGAAGTACAATAATTAAGTAAATTTTGGTAGTTTAAAAAAGTTAAAATTAGTAAAAACAATAATATACAAAAAGCAATTAATTATCTATCCATGAAATCTTTATAAATTTTTATAAAAATATAATAAAAGACAATACCTGAACATCAACAGGTAAAGCTCGCTTCAAAAGTTCAAGTGCTTGAGTCTATATTATAAACAAAATTTCAATACTTATTTTTTTTAAAAAAACCTTTACTATAAAATTTAATTTTTTTCTATAAAATGTAAACCTTTGCATTAATTTTTTGATCCAGTATCTTCAATGATCTAACTGCAAAATCATTTCGCTCCTCTATATTGCTAGGCATGGCTAATTATGAATAACAACTGTTTTCTTTTAAAAAAAATTTCATTTTAAAGATTTTTTTAAAAACTTAAAATAAATACTATGAAATCAAATATTATAGTACAAAGATCAAAACAAAAACTAAACTATAAAAAAAAAAATAATACTAAGTTAATAAAATAATTCAAAACAAACAAAATTCACCTGCTCGCAAAGCTTCAGCATTTCTCTAAAAAAAAAAAAAACTCAGCTAAACCAATAACATTTATTGTTGCTAGCTCCAGCTTCACCCCCATCTACAATGAAAAACCTGAGAACTTTTTCATTTAAAATTTCTATAACTTAATATAAACTACTTTATTTATATAAATAACAATTTTTTATTATATTACATGATTTTGATCAATCCTTTTATACTTTTATTATATTTATAAACAAAATTTCAATACCTTTGCAATGCGGTAGTGGTGTAGTGGTAGAGCGCTCGCTTCATAAACGAGTGGTTCTGAGTTTGATCCCCACCACGTCCCTGGTAGTACCGCGCTCAACTTGTTTTTCCTCGCAGCGGCCTTGTTTGTCAAGGTTTGTGTTTCGAAGTTATAGAGTTGAGAGAGGGTTATAGCCACAAATAAGTAGCCTCCTTGTCTGAAGTGGCCTTCTCGGCCTTGAGGAGGTGAATTAAAATAAAAATAAAAATATTGCTTAGTGTTGATTAATCTCTTAATATACATTTATCATATCCCATGGTCAATCTCCTAATATTTTTATGAAATTACACGGTGTTGATCAACTCATTAATACTTTTATTAAACTGAATGGTGTTGTTCCATCCGTTAAAATTTTTTGAGAACAGATTGCTTTTTTATCTTTGAAAAAGTATGCAAGGCTATCATTAAAATATTAGTGGGCCAGAGTTTTAAGCCCCATTCCCCACTGAGGGATAAAAATGGGACTTAAGACTCTTAAGAGATAGGGATGTAAAACACTTAAAATTTCTAAATACATCTCTTTCTCTTTTCTACAAATAATTAAGCATGGTTGTTTGATTTTTCTGTCTGGTGAATCCAGCCAGCACCATTGATATCCATTACATTCAAAAAAATTTAACTGAAAAAAATAATGGAAAACTTCTGTTAAATTTTTAAACAGACTGATAATTTTTTTTCTTCAATTTTTATTAATTCTATTAATTTCTTTTAATTTCATTAATTTTATATAAAAATCTTTTTTTAATTGTTTAAAAAAAAGTTTCATTTAATCAATTTTATTTTAGTTTAAATTAAATGAAAGACAAAAAGCAAAAATTTCAGAAAAAATTTCAAAACCTACAGTTTGATTATCAAACTGTAGGTTTTCAAAATTTTATATAAATTAATACAAAATAAAATTTTATTTAATTTTACAACTTTAAGCAAAAATTTAAAACATTTTTGTACATTTAACAAACTTATAACTTAAGTTTAAATATATAATTTAAATTTAAATAAGTTTTATTATTAAAAAGTGATTCTTACTGATAAACATGAGTTAGGTTATTTAATTGATTTCATTTTCTAAATGTCCTTTTTCATTATAAAAAGTAAATCTATCAGTATTGTAATGGTGTTTATGACAATTTTTTTTACATATATTAGTTTCTTTATTGCAGCTAAAATGCCAAAAACTAGTTCTGTTATTCGAGTTTTGACAAAAAACCAACTAAAAAAGATGGTGAAGTAGTTGCCAATGCTATTTGTAAAGTGTTGAAAAGTATACAAACTTGCTGAGGGTTCTAATATGAGATAACACTTAAAAATAACTCATTCATCTTTGTATAAAATATTAGTTGAAAAAGAATTGAGATATTCAGTTGATCAAAATGACAAGGAGGAAAATAACTCTACAGAGACACAAGGTAAGTTATAAAAAATATATTTTCAATGATACTATTTTAACTAAACAAATCAATGGAAAAGTTGTTTGATAAATTCAGATGAGTATGTCAAAGAATCGATACCAGGTCTATCAGCAAAAAAAAAATAAAAGCTATGCAAAAAGATCCAGCTTGTTCAAGTAGTCCTAGCTCAAAAAATATAGACAAACAAAAAAATACAACAGTATCTAAGTTACTAAATAATATAGTTTCTTTACTTTCAAAATATAAAAGTCAGGAACAAAAACAGTTACCAGTTTTAATATCACAATGTTCTTGGTTTGTGAATCTCTACCTTACAGTATAGCTGAGTTTCAAGTTTTTAGAGATTTTGTTTATTGTTTTGATCCTCGGGCTAATATAAAGAGCAGGATAACATTTTTTAAGTACAAGTTACTCATGGTATATCAGAATATGAAAGCAGCTTTAGATAAAAAAGTTGGCAAGTGAACTAAAAGATGAATATGGTGTATGACTCACCACTGACTGCTGGACCTATAGAGCAGTAGATTCATTTATTACTTTAACTCTGCATTATATTACTGATGATTACACTTTGAGAAAGATTGTTATTATTAGCTGTGAAAAGTTTTCGGAACGCCATACTGCTCAACATATTGCTAATGGAATAGACAAAATGATTGGGTCAAGTTGTTGGCTTGAAAGTAAAACAAAAAGTAATGATTACTGATGCTGTAAGCAAAATGGTAAAAGCAATGACAATCATAGGATTAATACTTGTTTAGGTAGAGCATTAAAAACAACAAAATAAATTTATTTGAAGGGGTTAATTGCTTACTGAAACTGAAAACAAAGTGCCAAAATGTGGTACAAAGGGTTTTTACAACAGAACTGCACATTTTCTCCATTCATACTATTAAGTAGCTGTTTTTTGAAAAAAAATTTGAAGTTTAATTAAAAATTTCATTACAATATTGTACAATTTTTTGTGTGTTTTGAATCAACCAAAAGACAAATAGTGGCCATCTACAACTCTAACCCTGGAAAAGTTATTTTAGTAATAAGAAGATTTTCATTTTATAAAGCTAATGAATCATGTCACATGTCAAAGATATTTCAACGGATGATATGTTTTCAATTGAAAAAAAAAAAATTTTTTTTTTTTTGAAAAAGAAATATCATATTGTCTTCAATTGAAGAAATATCTTTTTTTTTTTCAATGCAAAAGCCATTGCTTTGGTATTGAAAAAAAAAAACACAACACAAACATTTTAAATTGGGCAACACAAAGTGGAAAATTAACATGGTGAAAAGCCTATTCAAAGGTTCTTCCCATCTTGACTAAAATTTTAAGATCCATTTTTTGCCTTTCAGCATCAAGTTCTCCATCTAAAAGGATTTTCAGTTCCTCAAAAAATATTGTAACTTGTAGCAGGGAAAACCTTAGCACTGACACAATAAGACAATTAGTGTTTTTGAGAATATTGAGAACTTTGAGAGTATCAAAGTAAAATCAGAAACTGAACGATCCTGTGAATGAAAATAAAGAAGCGTGATAACTTTTATTTTTTTACAATGGACAACTACCTCTATGTGTTTTTAATTTTTAATAATATTTTGTTTGCTTTCAAAAATATACATATTATTTGCTATGCAACTATGCTTATGTGTTTTAATTTTCAATATTACTTTTAAAAATATACTTATCTGTTTTATTGTATCTTTCAAATAACGCCCGTTAACGGAATTTAAGGACCGTTAAAAATTATCCTTAATAAATTTTAACAAAACAGATTTTAATAGAAATTCTATTAATTTTTTTTAACACAACGGAAACTAACAGTTTTTATAGGACTGCCAAATGCCCATGCTTACAAATAATATCTAAAAAGTTTTGGTACTTCCTATTTTCTGTATGAAAAATAAATTTTGATTTGAAAACAACTAAAAATAATTATTTTCATTTATCTATTAAAAAAGGTCACCCAGCATCACCTTTTATTAAACCATAAAAACCTACAGTAGTATATATATAAAGCGGTAGACTATGCATAAATCATCTGACTGACTATCTGGGGTTAGGCACAGTGGAGAGTATATACATTGACTGACTATCTAAAGATAGATGCAGTCCAGAGTACAAATATTGACAAATAGTTTTGTTTAAGCAAGTAGCTTATTAGTTTGAACAAAAAAAAAATTTAATTTTTGAACTTTTCCATAGTTCCATTTTCCATATATATATATATATATATACATATATATATATATATATATATATATATATATATATATATATATATATATATATATATATATATATATATATACACTTACTAAAGCGTGTTTTGATAAGCATTTGCTCACTTTTTCTGCTTACTTTAAGCTATACCGTTTTTTTCGAAAAAGAAGAAGAAAAACGAAGAATGATGAATAAAACAATTGCTTCCCCATCCCAAACCCTCAGTCAATGTAGCAGCACTCCACTGCGAGTCAGGCTATTTGTCAGTCAATGTATGTACTGAAGCCCCCAGCAGCAGGCTTTTTCAGTATGACATCAGATTGCTTACCTTAGTACCCAATACTATTTGTATATATATATATATATATATATATATATATATATATATATATATATATATATATATATTATATATATATATATATAACACACACAAATATAAACATAATATTTACCCTTTCTTTAAAGTTTAGTCCATCACTCCAATCTAATTGCATGTCAAGATCTTCACCTAACTGTGCACGCATATCATCCATAGCAGATTCTAACTGGCATACAAACTGTGTATAGTCATGACTGAGAACAAACTCAGGATAAATACTTTCTTCCATTATTGAGTAGACCTCTTTTTGAGCTTCATAAAACACATCTGGATCTCCATTTCCTGAAAGTTAAAATGCATGATATACCAAATGTATCTTACAAGTATCTCATATGTAAGACTTTCACACATATATTTCTTTTAGTATAATTATAAGTGTGTGAAAGTAAAACATTTTCTCAATATAAATTTACCATTCAGTATTCATGTAACTATGTAGTAAGCCCTGTATTTGTTTTTAGTTTCTAAACTTATGCATATTTTCTGCAAAAGATTTATTTTTACAAAATTTACCATAAATAAACTCTTCCATCCCTCTAACAAGCTTTGAATTAAACTTAATAGCTTTATCTGCAGAAGGCGTTACATACTCTTGGAATATTTCATTTGCACTTTGATGTTGTTTAGATATTGGTGTAAGTCTAAATTTTTCAATTGCTATCCAAATACTAAAAATAAAACAATATTTACCTGCAATCAAACTTAAAATAAATATGTAATTATTTTATTATATTATAGCTGTTACATTTATCTAATTATGAATAAATCTAATTATGCAATTTTATTTAATAAAATTGAATATATTTATCTATTAACTTAAATATAAATAGATTATAGTATAAGTTAATAGATAAATATAATCTATTTATCTATTAACTTATAGATAACTTATGGATAAATAATGATTTATAAAATAAATGTGATTTTATAGCACTTGTTTTAGAAATTATTATTTGATTTTAAGCCATTTGATTTGTTAAGTATATTTTAATTATTAAGTATATTTATAACATAATATACTTAAAAAGAAATAATAATCTTAAAACACTTGTACAACTGTGTGTTAATAACAAGTTTAGACAAGTATAATAACAAGTTTAGACAAGTATAATAGACATTATATATATATATATATATATATATATATATATATATATATATATATATATATATATATATATATATATATATATATATATATATATATATATATATAATGTCTTGGTTTTATATATATATATATATATATATAAGGTGTTAATAACAAGTTTAGACAAGTATAATAGACATTATATATATATATATATATATATATATATATATATATATATATATATATATATATATATATATATATAATATGTTTATAGACATTATATATATATATATATACATATATATATATATATATATATATATATATATATATTATATATATATATATATATATATATAATATGTTTAATATACCATAACATGTTGCATTTTTATATATATATAGACATTATATATATATATATATATATATATATATATATATATATATATATATATATATATATATATATATATATATATATATATATATATATATATATATATATATATATCATATTATATTATGTTATGCTATATTATATTATATGATATTATATACATCCTATATATCTTTTGTATTACAAGTATTGCATATATTTTATATTATAATATGTAAAAACTGTTTTGTTAAAAAATATATATATACAATATATACATTTTTGGTATGTGGTACTTTTGATTGGCTGAATCCTTAGACCTTGACAGTCATTCCAGAATACAAGATAAGAAAAGTTAGTGAATCCTTGCAGATAAATAAAGCAAGAGTTTGATACGAGATAGGCATTGGGCAAACTGTTCTAAATAGATATGTGAAAACAAAAATGTGGGGACCAATTTTGACAAAAATTTAACTGACAGCACTATTATATTATTCGATTAGTTTTTATATTTTACACTTTCTAATGATTTCTTTTTTAAACGGTTGGTTTTATGCTATTTTGTAACGTTTTTTCATTACCTGATGACGCTGACCACAATAGGTCAGCGAAATATTGTTAATATATTATTATATCAAAATATATTTAAAAAATAGTTATACGCTACCTTTTTTATTGAAATCAATTTATATCTTTATATATATATATATATATATATATATATATATATATATATATATATATATATATATATATATATATATATATATATATATATATATATATATATATATATATATATATTTATTTATATTGTTTTATGTAGTGTTGAATTAAAATAATACACAACTCTTGTTCGTTGAAAAGTGCTTAATATTTAAGAAATTTATTTTGATTATATATAAATTTCATAACAGAGCAGTTTATAATTAAAAACGAAAAAAGAAAAAACTTTTATTATGGAACTTTAAGTTTCATGCCTAACGGCAATCATCAGCCATATATTACAAAATTTAAAATAGACGTTAAAATTACAATTAAAATTACGGTGGCATGAGTTCTAATGACTCCATGGAAACAAAACTTTAAGTTTTAAGAGTATCACGTGGCGTAAAAGTGACGCAAACCAATCAGGATCAATCTGTGGTATCATAGGAGGAAATAAGAAATTTATTTTTGTGCCTACACTTCGAGATTATTTCACTCCTTGTGTTAAGTAGGTTTTTACCTTTACACATTAGAATTTGAAACTTCTTGTTCATAATGTATAAAGGTAAAAACCTACTTAACACAAGGAGTGAAATAATCTTGAAGTGTAGGCACAAAAATAAATTTCTTATTTCCTCCTATGATATCACAGATTGATCCTGATTGGTTTGCGTCACTTTTACGCCACGTGATACTCTTAAAACTTAAAGTTTTGTTTCCATGGAGTCATTAGAACTCATGCCACCGTAATTTTAATTGTAATTTTAACGTCTATTTTTAGGCATGAAACTTAAAGTTCCATAATAAAAGTTTTTTCTTTTTTCGTTTTTAATTTTATATATATATATATATATATATATATATATATATATATATATATATATATATATATATATATATATATATATATATATATATATATATATATATATATCCCACATTTGGTATTACAAATATTGCAAATATTCTATTTTAAAACTATTTTATTAAAAAAATTGTTCAAATGATCTTAAAATTTCAAAAGTAATTATTACAAAAAGCCACAAAATCAAAATTAGATTTTTCAAAAAATCAGTAAGAAAGTATATGATCAATTTGTTGCAAAAAATCAGTAAGAAAGTATACAATCAATTTGTTGCAAAAAATCAGTAAGAAAGTATATGATCAATTTGTTGCAAAAAATCAGTAAGAAGGTATATGATCAATTTGTTGCAAAAAATCAGTAAGAAGGTATATGATCAATTTGTTGCAAAAAAATCAGTAAGAAAGTATATGATCAATTTGTTGCAAAAAATCAGTAAGAAGGTATATGATCAATTTGTTGCAAAAAATCAGTAAGAAGGTATATGATCAATTTGTTGCAAAAAATCAGTAAGAAAGTATATGATCAATTTGTTGCAAAAAATCAGTAAGAAGGTATATGATCAATTTGTTGCAAAATGACATGAATTTCTTATTCTCAAGAATGAAAATTTATTAAAATATAAAATGTTTATAAAAGTTTATTAAATATATTTGTACAAAAACTTACCCCAAAAGATTTTCTTTTTCATTTCGTTGCAAATAAAGCATAAAAAAACTCCTTGCCAAACTGTTATCCATAATATCATTAAATGCAAGAACTTTACTAGATTTTGTACCAAAACCTCTTCTTGGAGATTCTTGTTCACTATTGGCTTGAAAAGGTTTCCCTTGGCCCAATCCATAAACACGATAATCAGGCCCACCAAGTTGTCTAATGCGCTTTTCACATTGTAGTTTTGATACTCTACATTGGTTTATGTAGCGCTTGAGATTGCGATCTTGAAGGGCTTCTTTTTTGTTTTTTTTCCCACTTTTTGAAATACCATCATGCTCTGTAATATTCTTAGAATTGTGGATAACTGTAGCCTGCATAATTTCTGCAATAGTATGATACCTTTAAAGTTGTTAAACATAATACAGATAATGAAAATATAAAATTAGATAACTAGTATAATTTTTAAGTTTAAAAAAATTGGAACCTTAAGGATAACATATATAAAAAGAATTTTTATAAAATATATTTTGTTTAAATAAAAGTTAAATTTACATTTTTTTTTTCATATAGTAAAACAGGGTTTCTTTGAACAACTTTCAACTTTGAACAAATGTAGGGCTAAGTGAAAAACTTATTATTTCAAATAAAAAATGTCAAAACATGAGTCAGTGCATGTGTACATAACCACTGAGTTTCCATTCTTATGATTTAGATTACTTATAATAATAAAATAAAAAAATACTTGTTCCAAGTAACCCCACTACAAAGTGTTACTTGGGACAATTGCTTATTTCAAATTCAAGTAAAAAGTTCAAGTGTGGTCATTCTATGAGTTTACTTAAGATGTTTTAAAAAAAACTATGAATTTCAACTCTTTGAGTCTTTGATCAACAAATTCCTCACATCTCATCTTGAGTCAAATAAACTACTGTTTTTTTTTTGTTTTTTTTTTTTTATTTGCATTCACTCCCAACAAGGCTGCACGCAACCACTATTAAGTTGGGAGTTACTAGGAAAAAAAAAGAACAGAGTTATAGAGCAAGGAAACGGTTGACAGAAGACTTGAAAAGTTGAAGGTTGTATGAGTCAGGAAAACCTGAAGATGGGAGAGAGTTCCAGAGGATTGAAGTGCGGGGAAAAAAACTAGATGAATAAAAGTTTTTAGAGCATGCAGGGACAGATACAGTAAACGAATGAGACTTAGCTGAATGACGAGTAAAACGAGAATGAATTTTAGTTGATGGAACTAGAGATGATAACTCCTTTGAGCAGTGACCATGATAGTATTTGTAGAAAAGAGAAAGAGATGCAACTTTACGACGACGGTAAAGAGGCTCAAGCTTAGCAGATAGTCCAGGTCCAACAACATTTACAATGCGTTTTTGGACCTTGTCAAGAAGAGAAAGTGAATCATTAGAAGAACCAGCCCAAATATGACAACAGTATTCCATACAGGGACGAATAAGAGATTTAAGAGAGGTAGAGAATGGAATCAGAAGTAAGGAAATGGCGAGCACGATAAAGAGAAGCAACCTTAGCAGAAGCTAATTTAGCAATCGATTGTATATATGGTTTCCATGAAAGGTCAGTAGTAAGCGATAATCCAAGAAGACGTAAAGAGGAGGACTCAGTAAGAGGATTGCCATTCATTAATATAGGAATGTTAACCATATTACGGTAGTTGTTTGCAGTAAACAACTGGGTTTTGTTAGAGTTGAAATTCACAAGCCACTGTGAATCTCAATCTATTACTGAAGTGAGATCGGATTCAAGATCAGCTGCTTGTTCTTGGCGATCGAAAAGAGAAGACTTTTTGCCAAGACAGGAGTATAAAGTTGAGTCATCAGCAAAGAGAGCTACTTTAGATGAAAGGTTGTCAGGAAGATCGTTTATGTAGATAAGAAACAAAACAGGGCCCAGGATAGAACCTTGGGGAACCCCAGAAGTTACTGGAAATAAAGAAGAGTGTTGGCCTTCAAAGATGATTTTAATAAACCGGTTAGAAAGAAATGATTTGATTGTCTCAAAAACTTTCCCAGAAACACCACATGAAGCAAGCTTATGGAGAAGACCAGCATGCCAAACTTTGTCGAAAGCTTTAGATATGTCGAGAGCAATAGCCCTAATCTCACCGCCTCCATCTAATGCACGATAAAATCTTTCAGTTACAGCAGTTAGCAAGTCGGCCGTAGAGCGAGAGGATCGAAAACCGTATTGATTGTCTGACAGCAGTTTATTTGACTCAAGATGAGATGTGAGGAATTTGTTGATCAAAGACTCAAAGACCTTGCTAATAACAGAAAGAAGACTGATCGGACCATAATTGGAGGGGTCAGAATTTTCTCCAGAGTTTTTGAATATTGGAACCACAGATGCCATTTTCCAACAAGCAGGAAAACAAGACTCAGTCAAACACTTGTTAAATAGTTTAGAGAGAATTGAAGAAAGTTCTGGAGAACAATTCTGCAAGACTGTGACAGGAATGTTGTCTGGACCACAAGCTGTAGACGAGTTTAATTGAGATATGACTTTAGCAACAGAAGCCGGAGTGATTTGAATGTCTAACAATGGGTCAACCTGTTTGACTGGAATGGAAGGAAGAGAATAGCCATATAATTCAAGAGTGGAATTAGAATAAAAGTTCTTTGCAAATAGTTCTGCCTTATCCTTGGGAGAGGTAATAAGATCAGTCCCATGAATGAGAGATGGAATGTTAGATCTACCCTTGTTAATAATGCTGTTGAAGATTTTCCAAAAGTCTTTAGAGCCTAACTTCTGTGATAAGATGCGAGATTTAGTGAACTGAGAATAATGGAGTTTAGCATCAGAAAGCACCTTTTTACATCGATTTCTTGCAATAATAAATAGCCGTTTGTTCTCAAGAGAGTTGTTCTTTTGAAAAAGATGAAAAAAATGATTACGATTGGATATAGCAGCCGCACAAGAAGGAGAAAACCATGGAGTAGAATGAGGCTTGACTTGAAACCGACGAGAAGGAATAAAAGCTTCCATTCCAGCCTGAATCCAGGAGGTTACGTAGGAGGCGCATTTGTCAGCTGAGAGAGAAAAAACATCAGCCCAAGGACCATCACGAAGAAAATCACGAAAGGAATCCCAGTCAGCTTTAGGGTAGTAGTAGGTGGTGCGATAAGGTGAGCCCAAAAAAGAAGTACGAGAAGAAAGATTTATAGAGATCATTGCATGGTCAGAACCACCTAAGGGAGAAAAGGAAGAAACTGAACATAAGCTAGGGTCAGAGACAAGACATAAGTCAAGGAGTGAATGTAAATGATTAGGGTTGTCAGGAAAACGAGTCACAAAGTTAACTATCTGAGTAAGAGATTGAGAAACGCAGAAGTTAAAGGCTTTAGTGCCAGCAGGATCAGTGGTGTTAGGGCCAAGCCATTCAGTGTGATGGGCATTAAAATCACCAACAACAACAATATTGGCGGAGGGGTAAAGAGAGAGGGCATGGTCAATTTGATTAGAGATAACATCTAAAAGAGTGCAATCATGGGAAGATAGAGAACGATAAAGAACAAAGAGAAAAGTGATAGAGTGAAGAGGTGCTAGGCGAAAGCACATAAAAGAATGGTCAAAGGATTCGAACCTGATTTCACGACAAATAGGGGAATTAATGCGTATGTATACCCCTAAACCTAGCATGTGACTATTGGAGTCTTTACAAATCATAGGATAGTACCCATCAACACTGACATCTGAAGAAGGAATTGCAGAACTTAAATTTGTTTCACTGAGTGCAAGCAAGTCTGGTGTATTTTGCAGGAGGTAAGACTCAACTGATGGAAAGTTGCTTCGTAGACCGCGAATATTTGTAAAAGATATATTAAAATAAACTCCGACTAAAAATTCCCCTGCCTTGGGGCTCTTGGTTGAGTAAAGGCTAGAGATGGTGTCTCGATAAAAACACTCAACTTGGACAGATGTTAGACAATTAATACGGTTTTCGATCCTCTTGCTCTACGGTCGACTTGCTAACTGCTGTAACTGAGAGATTTTATCATGCATTAGATGGAGGCGGTGAGATTAGGGCTATTGCTCTCGACATATCTAAAGCTTTCGACAAAGTTTGGCATGCTGGTCTTCTCCATAAGCTTGCTTCATGTGGTGTTTCTGGGAAAGTTTTTGAGACAATCAAATCATTTCTTTCTAACCGGTTTATTAAAATCATCTTTGAAGGCCAACACTCTTCTTTATTTCCAGTAACTTCTGGGGTTCCCCAAGGTTCTATCCTGGGCCCTGTTTTGTTTCTTATCTACATAAACGATCTTCCTGACAACCTTTCATCTAAAGTAGCTCTCTTTGCTGATGACTCAACTTTATACTCCTGTCTTGGCAAAAAGTCTTCTCTTTTCGATCGCCAAGAACAAGCAGCTGATCTTGAATCCGATCTCACTTCAGTAATAGATTGAGATTCACAGTGGCTTGTGAATTTCAACTCTAACAAAACCCAGTTGTTTACTGCAAACAACTACCGTAATATGGTTAACATTCCTATATTAATGAATGGCAATCCTCTTACTGAGTCCTCCTCTTTACGTCTTCTTGGATTATCGCTTAATACTGACCTTTCATGGAAACCATATATACAATCGATTGCTAAATTAGCTTCTGCTAAGGTTGCTTCTCTTTATCGTGCTCGCCATTTCCTTACTTCTGATTCCATTCTCTACCTCTCTTAAATCTCTTATTCGTCCCTGTATGGAATACTGTTGTCATATTTGGGCTGGTTCTTCTAATGATTCACTTTCTCTTCTTGACAAGGTCCAAAAACGCATTGTAAATGTTGTTGGACCTGGACTATCTGCTAAGCTTGAGCCTCTTTACCGTCGTCGTAAAGTTGCATCTCTTTCTCTTTTCTACAAATACTATCATGGTCACTGCTCAAAGGAGTTATCATCTCTAGTTCCATCAACTAAAATTCATTCTCGTTTTACTCGTCATTCAGCTAAGTCTCATTCGTTTACTGTATCTGTCCCTGCATGCTCTAAAAACTTATATTCATCTAGTTTTTTTCCCTCACTTCAATCCTCTGGAACTATCTCCTATCTTCATGTTTTCCTGACTCATACAACCTTCAACTTTTCAAGTCTTCTGTCAACCGTTTCCTTGCTCTATAACTCTGTTATTTTTTTTTCTAGTAACTTCCAACTTAATAGTGGTTGCTTGCAGCCTTGTTGGGAGTGAATGCAAATAAAATAAAATAAAATAAAAAAACTCAAAATACACTGGAAAGAACTATTTTTGGTGAATATTTAATAAAAAAATAACAATATAATAATATTCAACACATTTCAATGCAAGTTAGAGTTTATCAAATAGTTTTTGGAATTGGAATGTAATTGAATTCATAGCCTTTTAGATTGATTACATTTATGTTTTAATAAATTTTGTAATAAGTGTAATCAGCATATGAACAACTTCCAATTTTTAGTCTATATTTGCAACCCACTTTCTTTTTCGGAACAAAGCTAAAATAAATAAAAGTACCTATTGTGTTATTATTAGTAAGTCTATAGCACCTAACCTTATGCAAAGAATGAAATAGGATGAATGAAAAATGATAAAAAACATATTGTAGGGAACATAATTTTGGAGTCACTTTAAATACCTCTCAGATAAAAACTAATGAAAAACACTGCTAAAAAACTTTTATCCGACTCTCAAAAAAATCCGAATTTCAAAAAAATGTTTGTAAAAGGTCAAGCATGAATCAGCTGTGAAATATCAGGTGTGAGGTAATGCGAACCTAAAAAACTAAATTTACTCATTTTGCCCCAAGTAACACCACTGTCACAAGTAACTTCATTTCAAAGTAATAAAGTATATTTTAAAAAAAAAACATTTGTGGAAAAGCTTTAAATATTAAACAAATTTTAAAATAATTTAAAGAAGAATTTTTAAATAATTTATTAAACCAATTTAAAAAAGTTAACTTTAGTTTGCACAGACTCATGTTTAACAAAAACTAATACAAGACTTGAATTAAATATAAATGAGTAATGATTCCTATTATGTCGAAATATGCATTTAAATTTATTTAATTTGAACCCTTTAGGGGTCACAAAATATATTCAAATTATAAGAGTTTTTGAACTATAGGAGTTTGATCCTAAATATTAAACCCTGAAGGGACCAAAGAATTTGTTTAATTTAAATAATCTTTCAAATTACAGGAGCTTAAATTAGAAGAGTTCAACTGTAAATAAAAATTGATAAAAAAGCTGTTTACAAAAATTTGTTAAAACTTAATCTGTTAATATTTAATTTGTATATAACACCATTAAAGTCAAGAAAAAAAGAATTCTAAAAAACACTAAGAATTCCAAAACAGAAGCTTGCTGGACTTTATTAAATAATTCTCTTTTCGAAAATAAAGAATAACTGGTACAAAAATAACAACAACTTTATGCTGTTACTATAAAATTATAAAAGTTAACAAATTATCATTTTTGTATTAATTCTAATATAAGTTACTTATAAATATAAGTATAACTTTACAGTAAGTACTTTAAAACCATGTTTTTTGAATTTTTTTTTTTAATGTAATATTTTGCATAACCTTATTTTTGATTTGTTTTTGAAGCACTTACTGTACTTACTTAAATGTTTTAGAAGTATTTACTATAAGGGCATACTTACTTTAATGTCAAAAACATTGTTGTACTTCCTATATTACTTTTTTGTATCTTAATTCCTAATCTTTAGTTTACACATTTTCTATGCACCTGCCAAATTTCATTGATTTATTTTACGCAGCATAAACCCTATTATTTGTAGCATTTACGTACTAAATTCTATTTTTAATATATTAATAATTTAAAATTTTTATATAAAAATTTATTTAATGATAAAAATTATAATATAAAATTAGATGAATAAAAATACAAATATCTTGGTAAAAAAGTTCAAAAATTTTTTTTAAGTGTTTTAAAACTTTTAGTTTTAAAATACTTAAGTATTTAAAATCTTAAATATTCAAAACTTTTCATACAATATATAATGTTTTTATCAATAGTCATCAATTAAAACGTTGTTTCAGCTATTTAAAAAGTCACAAATAGATCGTGAAATCCGTCAAAAATATTTTGTCACAAAAATTTAATACTATTAAACTTTTTTTTTTTATTAACATTTATATTATAAAAATGAAAAGGAGTGTTAAAGAAGACAACATATATAAATAATCGTTTAAACTTTTTAAAACTGTATTTAAAAGAGATGTATGCAATTAAAATTGATCAAAGTTTTAAAATTCATTCATACAAAGTTTAACTGCAAACAATTGCCATTCATTCTCATTTTCTCTCAATTATATCACACAGAGATATATATATGAAAAAGTATAAACATAACAAAAAAAAAAACGTGGTATAAATATGAAAATTCTTAAGAAGCTTAATCAGAATGAAACAAGTTGAATAATTATAATTTAATATTATTAAAAATAAAAATGCTAAATTTTCTTTACAAATTTAGATACAAATAACTAAAAGAAGAAATCAATTGTCATAAGAAGGTATGTTAAACCATTACCTCCATACCTACTCTGATATAAAGAAATTAATTTTATATGTGGCGGGATAGCTCAGATGGTTAGAGCTTCAAAGGAAAAGTTAAAACCTGAATTATTGAATGATACGAGCTCAAATCCTGCCACCGCCAACTCAGCGCTTGAGCAGTACTTTGGTAGGCAAAAATGTTGGTCAATAACGGACGCTACTTTGGATTAGTCTTAATGACTATTTGTGGCTGTTCCTATGTTAAGCCAACAATATCTTCGGATATAAGAACATTGTATAGAAAAATATAGCATGAAAACTCAAATAAACAAATAAATATTTGGAAGTGGTCTGAAAGCAAATTATAAAATTTTTATATAAAAAAAATTACCAAAAAAAACTTGTTTCTTTATGATAGAAATATGCATTTTTGGGTGGCAAAGCTGGTAGTTTGGAGCCCCTCTAATTACTAGATATGCCCTGCAGATACCATACCCTAACTTCTTTTTTCACCTTTAAAATACTGTATTTAAGGTTTTTTTAACAATATAAAACAATTTAGTATTTTATTAATTTAAAAATTTCACATAACATATCTAAATATAATATAAAATATTTTCAAAAATATGGATAAATAAATCACCTAATTTGCTTTAGTGTTTCAATATCTGATGTTGTATTAATCATTTTAATAAATTCCTCATATGTTTCAGCATATGCATACTGTTGTTTTTGTGTTTCAGTACTTTTTTCTTTATCCTCAAGATAAATAACCAAGGTTTGGTTAATATAATCAGGATCACAAATAGATTCTGCAGTAGCAAGAAAAATAAAATTAGCTAATACTTCCCGTATGGCATATCTCATTGGTAGACAATTAGAATCACTTTCAGGTAACAATGTTACAAGAAGACAGTCTGCACACAGTCGTAAATATTTTACTTCAGATTCATGATCTTTTAAACAAGGGTGAAGAAGAAAAGGTTTCGTTTGTCCAGGAAATTGCCTTGCATCTGATAACCTTAAATCATGAAAGTGATTATGAAGAACCATCACAAGACTGTTGCATAAAAAATTTAAACTATCAACTTCATTAAGACGAATTATTAAATTCTCAATAACTGTCCACAACTCTTTATTTAAAATTTCTACAAAGGCTGTTTCATCCTTACCAACATCTCTAAACCATGATAAACAAAAGTCATGAATAACTAAATCTATAACTTGTTGAATTGTATTGTCTAAATCTTTCGAAATTACAATACGATGTTTATAATAATGTTTGTTATAGCTTTTTGCCATTCGATTTAGGAATTCAGATACTGCTTGTTCTTCTTGTAAAAGACTTGGAGCAGGAGGTTCACGGTGTTTTCCTCTACACAGTACTAAAGCTAAGCCTGATATCAAACTAAATATCATTATTAAAATTATCATCAACCATGAAATTAGGAGTTGAAGCCAACCAATTGAATATAAAACAGCACATACACCAACACAAGAAATGGAAAAAATATTTGATTTTTTCAAACTTTTTAACATCGAGCGCACTTCATTCCAATTCATTTTGTATTTTAATGTTCTTTTTTCCTTTTTTTAATTTTCTTTTTTCCTTTTTTTTTTTTTTCTTTTTTTCTTTTTCTTTTCATAAGTATTATATTTCTGTTTTCTTAAAGTGAAAAAAATTGAGGTACTCCAATGTATTAGTTACGTCGTTTAACAATTGTTTTGACGCTTACAATAACGTCATTTTGACATTAAATGTCAAGATGAAAAATTTGCATTCCACAACGGATGCCGAATGTTATTCTGTTAACGCCGTTTGTTTTTTTTAACGTCAAATATTGTTATTGTTAAATATTGTTATTTTTGGAATTTTTATTTTTCAGTTTATTTATTTTAATTTTATAGTTTATTTGGAATTTTTATTTATTACTGTCAAATATTGTTATTTGAGGAATTCTTTTAACGTCGTTTTTTTTAACGCCAATATTTTAATAACTTTTATTAGCTTTACTCTCTTATATCTTTTTTATAATTAAGCTAGAACCTTGATACTTTTTGCATCAATTAGTTTGACTCAACTTCTTTCCAAATATGTATAGAAAGCATTATATTTTATATGGCTTCACTTACATATTAAAGTGAAAAAAATTAAGGTACTCCAATGTATTAGTTACGTCGTTTAACAATTGTTTTGACGTTTATAATAACGTCATTTTGACATTAAATGTCAAGATGAAAAATTTATAATAGGGTCGCATTCCACAACGGCTGCGGAATGTTATTCTGTTAACGTCGTTTATTTTTTAACGTCAAATATTGTTATTGTTAAATATTGTTATTTGTGGAATTTTTATTTTTCAGTTTATTTATTTTAATTTTATAGTTTATTTAGAATTTCTATTTATTACTGTCAAATATTGTTATTTGTGGAATTCTTTTAACGACGTTTTTTTTAACGTCAATATTTTAATAATTTTTATAAGCTTTACTCTTATATCTTTTTTTATAATTAAGCTAGAACCTTGATACTTTTTGCATCAATTAGTTTGACTCCACTTCTTTCCAAATATGTATAGAAAACATTATATTTTATATGGCTTCACTTACATATTATTCATGTCTTGAGACCACTATTGATTAAAAAAAAACATGCCGCGGGAACATTTTTTCCTATGAAGTTTTTAAAGCTAAGAATTCCTAATTACCAAAACACATCAAATTTGTTTAACAGTTTCCATAAAGATTTAAAAGAGATAAGGAATCTAATGAAATGATGAACCTTTTTAACATTTATACATAATTTCTTGGTTCTCAGTGTTTAAGAACTGTAAGGTCGGTTTATTAAAAACAAAATTTCTTTTCAAAAGATTCCCCGTGAAAAAAGCAAGTATGGCCTTTCCTGTAATTAAACCAAGTATTTACTTATGTTTTCTTGAAGAAGTGGTATATAGAATTTTTATGTAGAAGTTATGTGTATTATGCTTTTTTTCCTTAGCGTATTGTTTGTTTTGATTTCTGCAACAGATTTTTGATGCATTCTTATTTTGTTTTAGTGCCAGTACAAAGCAAATTTCCCATACTTAAGTAGAGGCATTTTGTCAAAAAAATCAAGTTATTTTGAATTAACATTAATAGTGCTTTCACATAAATATGATAAAAAAAGACATATATTTAAAGTATGTTTAAAGTAATACTCTAAAGATTAAACACCAAAAATAAGAAAACTTTAGCATCATATCAACTTGAGGTGTGTTCTTATCTGCCCTAATAATTGCTGAACTATTCCCTCATATATATATATATATATATATATATATATATATATATATATATATATATATATATATATATATATATATATATATATATATATATATATATATATATATATATATATAGTGAACGCTATATAAGCAACCTCTCTATAAGCATTTTTTTTTGTTCAACTGTTCTGTATAAGTAAAAATATTTTGCAGACGGTTAGTATTTTTATGCTTCTTTTTTTCCCTTTAAGTAACTTTTTCCAATACGAAACTTATTTATTGAAATGGGTTTAGATAAGTTGCTTATATAGAGCGTTCACTGTATATGTATATATATATATATATATATATATATATATATATATATATATATATATATATATATATATATATATATATATATATATATATATATATATATATATATATATATATATATATATATATAAATCAAAACATTTCCCTTCAAGGATTTTGCAAGAAACTACTGATATACTACTGACTCTGCCCTGAAACAGTTTTTGCATATTAAAAAAATCTAATTTCTAAATGATACTGTTTTTTTGATAATGAAATATATCAAAAAATATATAACTATAAAAACTATTTTGTAATAACATGTTACAACTAAAAATCTAAACAAACTTTGAAAAAAAATATATTGAGAACAGAGTTATCAGAATATTAAAAGAAAATTTGTATTTTACAAAATAAAAAAAAAGTTATTTGTTTATCAGCCCATTTTTGCCAAACACGGTAAACTCTTGTAAAAGTAGTCGCCCTCAATTTTTTTATACAACAATCAGTTCGATTTCTTTGTTGGTAATTTTTACTTGCCGATTGTCTGCATACACCAATCTTTTGATTTCAGTTTAAAAATCCTCGATCGAACGCATTTCAGGCACATTAACAGGGTTTATGTCTCTCGGCACATACAGTAAACGCTCTATATAATCAACTCATTTGAACCAATTTCAATAAATAATTTTCATATTGGGAAAAGTTACTTAAAGGGAAAAAAAGCAGCATAAAAATACTAACAGTCTGGAAAATATTTTTACTTATACAGAACAGTTGAACTAACAAAAACGCTTATAGAGCGGTTGCTTATATAGAGCGTTCACTGTATTTGATATTTTCGCCTTTTAGATAATCTTGTACTTTTTTTAAATAGTTTGCAGTATTTAGATTAGCTCAGAACACAGTTTTGTCATTTTTATGAACCTTGTTAACGATTTACTTTAATTTAACCTAGCATTTGGAAATGCACATATCTTTGTCGACTGCTTGCCCCGAAGGAACGATGTAAAGCTTTGAGACCCCTTTCTCTGACAAGACTATCTAAACTAATAATTTTGACTCATATTTTCTTTTTCTTGTGAGCTTAACCTCATTAGGAGTTGCGTCGGGATTAGAATTATAAAATCCTGTGTTGCCAGAAATCTTTGTGTTGCACAAAAGAAAATATGATTCGTCGTCAATTATTACAATTTTTTTCCGAAAAAGTGCAACCAATTTTTGGCACTAGGACCCACAGCAGCTTTCTGAGCCAATGTTCTTTTTGGCACTTAAGTTTTTTTACTATATCAAGTGCTCGTCTTTTCATTGATAATTGTTTACTATTGTGACCTTTAGTTTTATATCCGCTATCTAGCATTTCAGGTTTTGTGTAAAAATTTATAATATCATACCCTTTCAAATATTTAAACATTTGTATCAAAAATTTAACTTAATAAGTCGAATTTAAAATTAATTTTTGGAATGCTAGGATTAGGGATTAATCTCTTAGGATTGGGATGCTAGCATTGGGCTTTTGGGATTCCACTTTGAGGAACCAGGCTGTGTCTGGCTCTTTAAAATGGAATCCTATCAGGGGCTCCTAATTGATGTATATAGCCATAATAGATATATATAGCGCTGTCGTTGTGGGTTTGTTGGGACCTCTATTTTTTTTTTTTTATTTGGAATTTTTTATTTAGATACCTCAAGAAGTCCTTATGGTCTTATTACAGAGCACCGTGGATGAGGATTTTATTAGAAGTTCACGCCTCCTTCCTAATCACAGATCCTTTGTTTCTAAGGCAAGTGCTCTACCACTGTACCCAGACTGCTCAGCCCTATATCATTTCTGCAAGGGGATAATTATAATGTATATAGAATGTAAGTAGGTATATATATACATTTACTATTAACATTTTAATGTAAAATTTTTTTTCTAATTGGTAAAAAGTGCATAACTTATATTATGAGCATCAGTTTTCCGGCCATGACCATTCCCACCGGGCACAGAAAGTCTGAATTGAATAAAAACTCAGTTTTGAATAAAATTTTGGTACAACGAAGTTGTTTATGGAAAATCTTGTAGCATTTTTATGGTGTATTTCTTTAAATTAGGTTTTGAAATTTTTTGCAAATAACCCATATTTTGTTTTATACATGAACTGTAAAACTAGATAGATGTTAAGTTTGAGAATATTTAAGGCACCACGTAAAAGAAGTTTACAAGGAAATGCTTTACGAGCTCCAAATACAAATGATGAAGTTAAGCTTAAGAATTACTGTTGTTTGTCTATTTAACTTTTTATTTGTTACAAAATGTTTAAAGTCAACCGTATGTAGTTTGAAAATCTTCCTAATTTAAACGTTTACATTTGGTATCTATTCAAAGTTTTAATTTCTTTAAAGTATAGTTTTTCTCTAAGTTAAAATTCTGCAAATTTGTGTTTCTGATACAAAGAATTTAGGTTAGTTTTTTGAGTGTTTCCCGTTAAAGTATTTTTATAACTAATATGACAGTAAATAGAAATTAAAATAGTGTTAAATGTTTTCTTTTTTACAATGCCATTAATGTTTTATTTTCATATATAATTATGTTGCCAATATAAGATACTTAAGTTTTTAATTTATAAAATTTTTCTTATGATAAAAGATGACATATTAACTGTTAAGTAAAGGATAAACAATGGTGTAAATTAGCTCACGAGTCAATAGTAAGTAAAAAATTAAATAATATATTATCTTTTAACAGTCTGCAAAAATCAAAACCCAGAAAGTTTATATAAATAATTATTGAGGTTGTCACGCAATATTTTACCGTTTTTGACCGCACCCCTTTGTCACGACATCGTAACTCTATAGTAACAAGTCCAGTACGAGTCGTCAAAAAATCAATATAATGTTATTTCGTCATAAAACGCGCCAAGTTCTCCTTAAGTTTCTGAAAGTTAGATTTTGGCGTCAAGTATCAACGTTCTATCTTTTTATAGGCAAATTTAAAAAGTGTTTTTCTTGGATAGAATACACAAGTACAATTTTTAAAATAATTTTCATGATTTTAAAAATTTCTTATTTTTTTTTTTATTGGTGTTTATGTATTAACGTAACTTTATGTTTATTAACGTAACTTTACGTTTGTTTACGTAACTAAGTGCAATTTAAAAACTTTAATATCTAAGAAGGAGC